ATTCCCAGCCGTTCCCTGCCCGTCCGCGGTCCGACACTGCCCCCTCGCTGCAGTCTCCGCGCGGTCTCACCCGGTTCTCCCTCCAGCCTGAACCTCACCAGCAGCGACATCCTCACGGTTTACGATGGGGACGAGCTCACCGCTCGCATCCTGGGCCAGTACGTGGGCAGCAGCGGCCCGCAGAAGCTCTATTCCTCCAGCCCCGACCTCACCATCCAGTTCCACTCGGATCCGGCCGGGCTCGTCTTCGGGAAGGGGCAAGGATTCATCATGAACTACATCGGTACGGAGAGCGCGGCGCTGGGGTGTCCCCTGCTGCTGTTGTGCAGGTGGGGACTGTGACATGCAGCAGAACAGGTCGTCCTGGCACCGGGTTTGGAAGCGGGGAGAGCTGTGACACCAGCGCATCCCACCGGGTTCTGCAGGCACTCCCAGCCCTGCTGCAGGTCTCAGGGTCAGGCACGGCTGGGGTGACCCCAGGCCGACAAGAAGCAGAGGCATTTCTGGTCCCCATTAGTCCTGGTCTGGCCCAGTGCAATGGTGGAGCAGAACAGGGAAAGGAATCGCTGGAAATAGGGATGCGGGACCCCCCCCCACTCACACACGAGGCACTGCAGCAAGGTGTCCTCCCAGGAGAGGTCACGGAAGCCCGTGGAAGGGTGGGCTCCTGAGGTGGATGTTCACAGCTCCTTGCCCCGGAGAGGCTCAGACTGCCCTGGAGATGTCTGCTCACATTACCCTTCAGTGCAGCACATCTGCCAGAGCAGGGACGCTGATGCCCAAGGAAAGGACAAGGGTTGTGAAGGGCGCTTCTTCCCCAGGGCTGCCCATGGTCTTGCTGCTGCCTCTCCCCAGCCTGGCTTCCCCTGGCAGGCGTCTCCCAAGCCTGTTTTCTTCCTGCTGCTGCCAGCTGTGGTTAGGATAAGCAGAATAAGCTGCAATGCAGATCACCTGTGTGGCTGCAAGTCCCTCCTCACTGCACTGCAGCACATGCAGCTGAGCTCGGCCATGGGCATGGGGAGCAGGGCAGGAACCCTGCACTGGGGCAAACCTGCTGTGTCATGACCACAGAGCCTGCACCGCTCCTGTCCTGTGCCTGCAGCCAGAGCTGAGCCCGGTGTGCCCACGCTGCTGTGTTTGTTTTGATGCCAGCACTGACACGGCCCTGTTTCTACCAGCACAACCCTCTGCCTGCTTTTAGAGTCAGGGCTGGGGAGCCCCCATTACCCCAGAGAGGAACTATAGTGATAGGACAAGGGGGAATGGCTTTAAACTGAAACAGCGGAGATTTAGAATAGATTTAGGGAAGAAGTTCTTCCCTGGGAGGGTGC